CTGGCTAAGAAGCACCAAACAATCCAAGGCATGCTGTGTGGAGTTCCAGGAATGAAAATGCTTGTCACAGATTAGAATTTGGCATGCTGCAGTCATGGCTTTTTGCTCTACAAAGTGCATAGCGCAATTTGCTAACTACTGCAAGTGCTGGAACTGTGAAATCAAATGGCCTTGAGTCAAGACTGGGGGGACAGGAAGAATTAAATTATGTTTCTATGCCAGCAGAGTTCCTTGCATCTTGAGGAGAAGCTTTGCTGTGGGGGGTCAGTGAGATCTTCCCCACTGGTGGTTTTTTGGTGTGGGTTTTTTCCTATTCCCCCCCTCCCCTCACTGTTGCACATTTTAATTCCTACTGAGAGCTGCTGAACAGCAGAACTGAAAGCCAAACTTCTGGAGTGGCTTTAGGAGTGAATTTGTTTCCTGCTCAGAATTCTTAGTTCCCCACCCCTTTCTTTTTCCTTTCTTGGCTTTGATGGAATGAGAACTCAGCGCCTTTTCCAGGCCTGGTTGGCTTTCTGTGATCTTTTGTGAAAAAGAAAATTGTAGTTGCTTTGCTCAGTCAGTCTCCTTGTGGGACCTCCGAACATTAGGGCATCCTGTGGGGGCTACAAAAATAAACTGAAACAAATTCTGGGGTGATGATGACTATGTTTAGAAGCCTGAATAGATTTGCATTTTTTGGTAACTTTAAAGAATTTTCCCCCTGCATATTTCTTTCCAGGTGAAGATGTCTGTGATGGGTTTCAGGAGCCTAAAAGTAATGTTCAGTAGGATGAATGGGATTTTGTTAGATAAGGATATATGTACAAGAAGAAGAGCAGTGACTTTATCCCTACTATGATATCTGTTCGAAGACATAGGTAGAATGTGTAATTTATATCTAAATTTTGTGAAGTGCACCTGGATGCCTTTTCTCCTACTGTGTACGGTGTAAGTGCTGAATCATTTGGAAATAACTTGTTTTAACTTATTGGTTGTATTTATTATAGGGATCAAACCCATGTTTTGGTTATGGCAAGATATGTTGCTGTATCTTCAGCTTTGCAGTTTTTACTAAACAGCATAAACAGAAAAGATGAAATAACAATGACTGAAACAAAAAGGAATGCTTTTATGTGTACAACTCCATGCAGTCAAGCATTTTCTGAGTCTGGTACAGGAGGAGATTTTCGATTCTCCTCTCCGTCCCTCCGAGAGCAGGGGGAGGGCAAGAAAGGGGGGGGGAAGTGAGCGAACGAATTACTTGACTGGGTTTAAACCACGACATACATCTATTCTGCTGTCTAATCGATTTGGCAGTATTAGTTTTCTGTGGCTCAGTTGGAGTCATTGGTGAGTCTTCTCTAAGAAGACTCATGAACAGCTTCAGTAGCAAAGTACATTGTTAAAACAATCTCTGTCAGTAGGTTTTTTTTAGTATTAGTATTTCCAAAAGTGATTAATAAGGAGTTATTCTGAAAGAGATGGAGCTTGCAAAAATATTTATATTTTTTCTTGTATCTGAATTTAAAGGATTCTGGTAAACCATTTGTTGAAACTACAGAGCCTTTTGTCACTGAGTGTGGACAGTGACCTGCTTTGTTTAACTTAATTGTACTGATGTACTTTTGAGGCAGTCTGCTAGAACCCCTCCAGAGTGCATACAGAGTTAGCACATTCGGTGACTGGCAACAAGTACAGTTTTTACTGTAAAGAGGCATATGCTTAGAAGGATGACACGTCTGAATATTGCAATGAAATGCAATTGCGTTTTTGGTAGAGATTGTTCTCTCCATCTGATCAAGGAGGTCAATAAGCATGAAAGCAGTGCAGGCAGTTAACAGGAGATGTATTTATGTGAAAGCAGAGAGTCCATGTGAAACTCTTTGCCAAGGTATCAGGGGCAGGTAAGACTAAGTCTTACCAGGCAAGCACTGTTGAATGCTTAGGGCCTCACTTACCCAGTGTGATTTTGAGAAGTTATCTCCACTTGGATAGAAGCCAGATCATCTGAAGATAGAGCCTTCCTGCTGCCTGATGGAAAACAATAATGGTCCATCTTTCTCTAGGTCCTCAGACATGGACTACTGAGGCAGGAAGCAGGGCCCATGAGAACATATGATAGGAGATACTCATGGCCCTCATTACAGCTTGTCCTGTTATCAACAGCTAGATCAGATAAGGCAAACTTATGCAAACTCTTTAAGCATGCTGGGGTTTGTTTTTTTTTTCTGGGAGTCATAAACCCTGCCAAAGTCAGCTTTCATTCTTCTTTTAAAGGTACGTAGGATGAGTTAAATATGCTTCAAAGCAGCCTGCGCTGTGAGTGTTTCTAGCATAGAAATACTTTGCTTCAAAAGCTGTGGATTTTGTCACAAATCCAGAATGACTTTTAGTCTTCTTCAGACTTGCGCCTGTATCTGCTTTGTGGTTACAGGCTATCCTGTAAGATATTCCTTTCCCTTCCCACAAAGAAGCATTCTGGTCCCATAAACTTTATGCTGTGGGCCGCTGTAGTATTGAGACAGGTGAGTAATAAAGAATCAGAGACATAATGTGTTCTCGGTTGCACTCTGGTTAGATTCAATGGGTGTTTTACGTGAGAAAAGTAAGGATTTGGTTCGTGCTGTAGTAAATCCCACTCAATCCTATTGAAACCATGCATAGCCTCCAGTGATAGAGTACCTACTGTTTCTGTCCCTTGATTACTGCATGCAAAACCTTTCTTAAGTTACCTCTCATGCGTGACCCACACCTAAAGCCAGATGTGAGGTAATCTGGTGCTGATGCATGTTTTAGCAGCTGATTATCAGAAGGAGTTGTAGAAAATTAAATCCATGAGTAAATCCTGGTTCCAGCTGTAACAGTTATTTTTCTTCTTCCTAGTAGCTGGTGCAGAGCTGTGTTTTTGTTTCCGTCTGAGAACAATGCTCATAACACGCTGATGTTTTAGTTGTTGCCCAGTAGCACTTACCCTGATCATGGACTTTTCAGTCTCATGCTCTGCCAGTGAGGAGGGGCACAAGAAGCCAGGAGGAAGCAGAGACAGGACACCTGACCCAAAGTAGCCAAAGGGGTATTCCATACCACAGCATGTCATGCTTAGCATATAAACTGGGGGGAGTCACCCGGAAGGTGAGATCACTGCTCTGGTCAGGCTGGGTATCGGTTGGCAGGTGGTGAGTAATTGCATTGTGCATCACTTGTGTTTATTTTTATTTTTTTTCCTTTCCCATTTTAGTTTTATATTATCTCCCCTTGTTACTTCTAGTATTATCATCACTAGTAGTAGTTTTATATTATCCTTTAGTTACTGGACTGTTACTGTCTCAACCCATGGGGTTTCCATTCTTTCTATTCTCTTCCACATCATGGCCTGGGGAGGAGGGAGTGTGGGAGGTGGGTGAATGGCTGCGTGGTGCTGAGTTGCCAGCTGGGTCTAAACCATGACAGTCCTTTTTGGTGCCCAGCGTGGGGCACAAAGGGTTGAGATGTATTTTACTAAGTAATGAAACTACCTCAGTTGTTCCTCTTCCTTTAAAGGTACACATATGCACCTCCTCAGCTGTGGGAAATCGGGCATTGCAAATGTCAGCTCTGATGAACTGTTTCATAAAAATGAGATCTCATGCCTTTTCTCAAAATGGATGGTTAATTTAATGTATGTCTGCTCTGCAGAAATGTTTCTTTTTACGTTTACCTGTTCCATTTCTGAAATAGGCTCATTTTATAGGTCTCCCATAAAAAAACAGGTGAACATACTCTAAGGGCAGAGGCACTTCTACTATTCACTTGAGCTTTGTTTCCCTCAGGTTGACAGATTCACAGCCATTCCTAGAAGAGTCTGTTGTTAACCCCACTGCCCCTCAAAACACAGTATTTTCACTGTAGAGCAGAGGATTAATTTCTTCAACCACTTCATTGATCACATGCTTCGAGGCCAAGCCTTAAATTCTTCCTTGGCAGAGATGAACAAGGTCTCTCCTTGTTTTCCCTTCATCTATAAATTTCTAACCATACTGACTGATGGCTAATGGAGTGTGTACAGAAAGTGCTAGAGGCTGAGATGTTTTGCCTGTGACTCAGCATGATTTCTCTGCTTTTCAACAAATACCACTAATAATTGTCATATTTTATTAGACTTGGCATTTTGTTTTCTGTTTTGTGCTGTGTATTATGCTAATTTTGAAAGTGAAATAAGATAAAGTGTGATTCTGTTCTTGCATATATTAGTGGCAAAATATACCCATTTAGTTCAGAGTTACCAGAATCCAATTCCCAGTTATAATGCTGATGCCTATAAATAGGTCCTGGTTGTAAAGGACTGAACAAAAGTCACAAAGAAATGAAAGGTTAATTAATATTTGCTATGCCCTCAAAAATCATTGATTGCTCTGAGTCATGCTGGAACTTTTTCAGCATAGTCTTATAGCTTTTTTGATTTTTTGATTTTGTGATGGATGTTGGTACACTGTTGGCAAATGTGCCATTTAGAATGGCTTAGTTGAAGCAGATGTTTAATGAAATGGCTTGATGCTTTCATTCTTATACAGGCTGACCCTACCTGTTTTGGGATTGAGCAGGAAAGAGCTGCTTTTAAAAGAAACTTTCAGGCTGAGAAGCAATTTGAATGAGCATATTGCAGGGCAAGTCCATCTTAGAATAGCAACTATCAAATGTCCAACAAAAAATAATAGCAATACCAGTGCCAGTCACAGAATACTGCTTGCAGTGAAAATAAACCTGTGAAGTCTACTGTTTAGGTGATGAATTGACTAGATCAGTTGTTTGTATTGATAGTTCCAAAGCATTTGAATTGTTTGTTCAGAAGAGCTGGTTAAGATAGTAAATAAATAAAGGCCTTCACCTGAGAGTGTTGAGAATGATTATCTCTCCAAATGAATGGAAATTTATTTCAGTTATGTGAAAAGAACCCCATAGTTTTGGTGTTAATTGAAGTGAAACTAAAATAATAACTTTACCATATAGATCTTTAATACAGATTTCTTTACTCTTTTCAGTGGAAGAACGGAAAATGAAGCTCTAATAAGGTAAGAATGTTTTATTCCACTTTAGTAAGATATTCAAGTTAATTGGAGGCAATTTTTAACAAATATGCTCAGCATTTCTGAACAGATCCTAAACATAGTGTGGGTCTGTGAAAAGGAGACAGCATTGCAGAATGAGTGTAAAAACATTTGACTGTTTTTTATTGTTGTTAAGCCACTGTTTGGTCTTTTAATCAAAATAAGATAGATTACTACATAGATTTGGAAACTTCTTTTTGCCTATGGGAAATTTGCAGGTCATTATTTTTCAACAGATTAGTTTTTACTACTCAGTTAATTAAAATCTTCACTTGTAAGGAGACCTTTCTTACAGTTTGAAAATTAAATGCTAGAGTACATGCTGAAATAAGTAGTATTGTGGCAAATTTGAGGGGTTTGACGTATGGCAGTGGGAGTTTACATAGTCAAATAAATGAATTACATAGTCAAATAAATGTACCTGTAGAGGACACGTGAACTCTTCTAGAAGTATTTCCTCTCCTATATGGCATGATTCAGGCTGCATCAGGAAGTGGATTCTCTGTGCATCTGCTAGATAAGCAAAAGGCAGAAGAAGGTCTTTCAGTACATTATCAACAGCAAGGGGTGTTAAAAAGTGGGGATTTATCTCTTTATTTCTTTCATTGCGAGTGAGGATGCTGACATTCATGTGCTGTGTTATCTAGAAAATGATGCAGCTACGTCAAATAACATAGCCAGGTGTGTGTGATAGCAAGTTGTTCTGACAGGCAGTGGCAGGATGAACCTGTTCAGAGCATTACAAAAATGCATAATTACTTTTCAGTCACAGGTGATAGTTTCAATTTTAATACCCATTCACAGGATGCCAAGGAAGGGAAGTGTTGTTGGTTACTGTTTTCCTTTCCTCCCAAATTAGCCTGTTTTGGTTTTTATAGGTAGTTCAAGTAAAAGCTTGCAGAGTTCTTAGTTGCATTTCCTGCACCTATTTCTAGTCAAACACCTTCCAAATGGAAGTGTGACTAAAAGGAATTTTTTTTTTAAACCTGATGACATTTTAAACCAGTAAAAGTCGATACATCTACATGAACTGTGTTCCTTATTTGCAGATGGGCATCCTTGGAATAGGGAAGAGGGAGGCTAAGAAGGAAATCAGTTAAGCTATGCAAAATGTAAGCTTTCTGATACCACAAGTGAGTAGAAATGTGAAATATTAATGGAAAAACAGAAGTGCTGTAAAAAAGTAATGAGGTGTCATATCACATATTTTTTGTTGTGGAAAATTTTAAAGTGATATAAGTAGCAGACAGTCGAGCTTTGCAGCTGGTGCATTATATTAGTACATGGAGAGCATGTGCAAGTATTTGCAGTTACAAAGGTTTGTGCGTACATAGTATATCTCTGAGACAGCAAGATGCTGCCGTTCTGCACCAAAACACTGTGAAGCACTGGAAGTCCTTCTGGAATAGGGCTAAGGAAGCTAAGGAACTTCATAATGTGTGGAGAATCACATGAGCTGTACAGGGATTTAGTAAATGCCAGAAGAAATTCTGGTTCTGAGCAGTCTTTGTACGCTGATCTCATCCACATCCATGATTCAGGGAGGACACAAGTCCTCCTTCAGTCTCCTTACCAGGATTGAGCCATACAAGAGCTGGGCAAACGCTGCAAAAATGGATTAAGCTTGCTGTGTTTGTAGTTGATCACCTAACACAAGAAAGCCTTATGTGAAGCCTCTGAATCCTACTGTAATATAAATGTCTAAGTAATATGCTTAAGTAATATGGCATGACAGCAGTAGTGGAATTTTACTCATTTTGTTTCCCAGAGTCACAACTGGAAGTATTTTCGGTACAGATTGCTCAATCCTGGATTTCTGCCTTGGCAGAAGTACTGGGTCATTCTGTTAGCAGGGTTTTTATATGATTTTGACATACAAGAACTAGAAAACCACCTGCCATCAGCCATCTATTTCTTTAACTATAGTATTCAGTAAGTATTGATCCAGTTTGAGCTGGAATTTATCAGTTAAGTTGAAAGTGAAACTCTGCAGATGGTGGTGCTATTGATCCCAAATTTCCAGGTCTTAAAAATGGGTGACTGCTATGAAAGCTGGAAAAGCTTGTTAAAGATGCTTAGTGCGCTTAAATTGACTTTTCTCTTTTTAGTCTCTATAGTCAAAAGCTATCTGTAATAGCACTGCAGCTGCTCTGCGTTGGATTCAGGAATCCCTGTTTTGATTTGCCAAACAGGCAAACTGTTTATCTCAAGTAAGAGAATTTTGAGGTGTGATGTGGTTAGTATCTAAAAATATCTGTGTAGGGAGATAGGATAGGGCTCCAACAGACAAAACCAGTGAGATAAGCAAGAGGAGTTCAAGTTGGAAATGTGATACTGTAGGTGTAATTAACCATTGGAAAAGCTTAGAAAGGAATGTGGTAGATCACTTGGAGTAATTAAATCAAGATTAGATCTCCTTATGAAATATCTTCTCGTAGAGTTACCAGTTTCTTGGGCTTCGTGAATAAATTGCTGTGTGAGGTATTAGAGCCTGTGCCAGGCAGGAAGTCAGACCAGATTATCATCAGAGTTCCTTCAGGCCTTTTAAATCCACATCTCCACCAACAAAGGCTCTTACGTGGTACAGGCAGCCACAAGATTTCCAAAATCAGAGCTGGAGCAGGTCACTCTTGTTTCAGTGGTGAAGGGTTGAAAAGTCTTTGAGCAGGTCCTTGAAGAAATGTGGTGGTGAGTACAGTGCTGCTGAGTTTGCAGGCTTTGTGTGCTACAGTCGTATGTACTAGGACTGAGCCAACTTCTGCTCTTTTCTGATCAGTCCATGGACACATCTTTCTGCATGATCTTCCAATATTTCAGCCAATTTACTTAGTAGCTTGCCTTTTGTGTTGAGTTCACTGAAAAGTCATGATTTGTCTGTGACGTTTATTGAATCCTTTCTGTGATATAACTAAAGGCCTGAATGAATTCAGAACCCTAACCCTAGCATAGGATCTTCTATAGCCAATCTTAATATCTGTATGAGCAGAAAGGGCAGGGTAGATTTTTAGCAGATAAGTAGAATTCTTAGTATAAAGTAATCTGCTTTCCCCAAAACTGGAAATAACTTGCATGTTTGCTCAGGAACCTCGATAGGATACTGAGAGACAGAGGAGGATGTTTCTCTTCCAGTTCTCATCAGCTAAATGAAAGTGTATCCGTGTGTTACTGGGTAAGAGGCAGCAGATCCTTTTTATAGAAAAGATAATAAAATATGGTTGATCCTAAAACTCATTTTATACTAGAAGAAACACCAAACACCATTTTGAACAAGAATAGCTCTGACTTTGTTTCTTTGACAAGCTCATTAATTTCCACATCCAAACTTAATCAGGAGTTATGGTGCAAAATCTTGCAAATAGAAAAATCCTTCAAGTTGAGCTCAGAGTTATGTCATCCTATTGCACTTACGTAGCATAGCTTCTGTTACAGGACTGTACAGCGTAACTCCACAGTAGCATGACAGGAGGAATAGGTAAGAGTTGTGCTGGTGGTATGCGTTCATGAACTGTTACTCAGGAGAATTTTTCATGTAATTCCAGCTCTATTGAAAAACCTGTGAAAAAGCTCTTCTGTATAACTATCCAGGTAATTTGAGAGTGAGCCCAGGCATAGCAGAGGATTTTGTGTTCCATAATACCTGTTAACCTACCTGCCGGCAAGTAGTGGGTTCTTGGTACCTGGCTTGTCATTCCTGTACTCTGACCATCCCTACTCTCTCCCTCCCTGGACTAAAGCATGTGTATGGTTTACACATGGTAGTCTAAACCTGAACTGAGAAAATCATTAGACTAAACAATAAAACAATAGGAAAATAATCAAAGTAGAGAAGAGAAATGCCCTTGTGTTTGATAACCTGAAGTAAGGTGGCTGAGGTAAGTCTGCATCCCTGCACAGGGAGGCATCTGCTTTCCTACATGTCCAGAGAAAAGAGAAAGGTCAGGGAGGGCAAGAGATTAGAAAAAGATAAAAGAAGGGTAGTTACCCTTGCTAGTAGGTAAGGGATTCGTGGCTGTGGTGAAGTAGAAAGGAGACTTTAGTTAGTCAGAGGTCAAACATTTTTGGCCGGTCGCTGTGTGCTAACAGTTGTGGGTTTTTTAGTATGATTTTTTTTTATGCACCATCTCTCCTGAAAATATATTCCATACCTCTGGTTTTCACAAATTCCTGATAGGGTAATACTGACCAAGGAGAGTATTTAAAAACAGACTGTAGGATGTCTTGTTTTCATATGTTTTTTCTACCACTGAGTCACTTTTAATGGGTACTTCAGTACTAAAAAGGAGTGCAGGAGGCTGTGCCATGGAAGAAAATTGTTCTCTCCATTAGTAAATGAATTTGAGCTATCAAATTGCTGCTGTTTTCTTCCATGTGAAAGCTTGTGGCTGAGTCAGTTAATGTAAAGGAAAACAGTCTTTCATACTACAGAAGAAACACCTCTAGTGGGCAGGGGTTCACAAGCCTGCAAAATTGATTTTGGTTATCCCTGAGAGCTTCTGCAGCATTTTTCTTTCTGTTCCGGCAACTCTGTAAGAGCACTCCAGATGACAAAAAGGAGGGGTTGTGCTGAGGTCTGGGGAGCTCCTTTGGCTGGTTTCCCATGCACTGCTAGTCCCAAAGTGGTTATTTATGCTAAAGAACTGAAGTTGCTTTAGAAGCTCAGTTTTACTGTGCTTAAAAGCTATTGAATCTTGTTTCCTGCACTTTGTTTACTTAATAACCCCTACCCAGGAATCCATGATTTTGCCTGGGTAACTTGCTGTTCTCTTCCGAGAAGTAAATATACCTTTTTTTGTCATTTTTAAATGACATGCTGGATTGGAGCACAGCTCACTGTAAAGAAGTACCCTGGTGCTTACACTGTGCTCACAGTGTCTGCTCAGATGAGAGTTAAGAGTGCTGTGCTCACTGTTACATAACTTTGCAAAAAGTGTCGATTTAGGGAAATTCTGCTGCTGTGAGAGAAC